CCCATCCTGGAAGGCGAGTAGCACCGACAGCACCCAAACTTTTCGCGATTTTTCATACCTCTGCCAGGTCAAGGGTTGGTCACCTCTGCTTCCGCCACTCTTAGTTGGGCTTGGAAAACAGCACTCTTCTGCTAACGATGGCTGGGCATACGCAACACGTCCCAAAAATCAAAAACACATGTCCCAACCAACGCAGCTTCTGGTGCCTGACACATTCTTCAATGGAGATACCCGTTGCACAACCGAAAACTCGCTTTCTAATTGCCTAGTTACGGATACGCCGATACCAGCCCACACGAGCTATGGTTCTGAGATAACGATTGTCGAACACCTGAAGACGTCTCAGTTCCGCTGCTCGAAAAGTCCAATTCTTATATTTATACGAGAAAACAACCCGCACTGTAGCTTGATACACACTTCCCTTCAGATTCAGGGATAAACCACTCTGACGCCGTAGGTGTCTTAAATTAGCAAACGCGACCCGGGTCTTGCAGATTCGTGCACTGACCTCATCTGTTACACGCGCAGAGAACGGGCAATTAGAGATTGCGCCACAGTTTCGAATCCAGACTATATGTAAGCGAATGTGTGTAAAGTGATTATGCTTGATTAAGCCTTAGTATAATTGCTTGGATTCTTGCTGTACCACGACTGGATACACTACATACAAGCGCTGAAACCAACACGCCTCATTGTTGAGCATACCTGCCCGGAATATGTTCAAAGTAATTGCATTTCCGCCAGCAGTTTGAACTAAGGATAAGCAACAGAGCATGGTGGCTTTTCCTGGTCACAACATTGGTAATTGTCAACGGCCTTCCGTTCAGGAAATGACTTTTTGTGAAGCAATTCACAAACCTTGCAGTAAGCTGCTTGGAGAAAGATGGCCATTCCATAGAGGTGATTGGTCGGTTCTGGAAATCAGAATCAGCCAAGTCATGACGTACACCACAGGGGTTCGATATGTCCTCCCTCACTGGCTGGTCCCCGGAATCTATCGTCTGGTTTGACGGCAGGCGAAGGCAATCAGCAACACAGTTGATATAACAAACATCTTTTATCACAGTATGCGGGAACAAAAACACCCCAAAGTTTTTATTCTCATGTTATTTGGTGATGACGTAAGCTGTAAGGAGAAAAATGCCACAGTGGAATTGCTCAATGCCTGTGCGTAGTAAACCATTCAATTTCATTCGCTCCGAGGTTGTGTTTTTCACGCCCGACCGCAGCGAATCTATTCTGAACGCGTTCCCAATCTGTGCTGTAAGGAAATCAGCTGACGGAATGGATGCGAAATTTCGCAAAGTCACTCGGATTTTGTTCATTGGTGCACGTCTGTCTATATTGTGTGAAACTGTTAAAAAATCCCTTGCGTTAAAGGGGTCCCTTCATAGAGGGAGACAGACATCTGAATTTTATTGAATGATTGGGCTGCTTTTTGTTCATAACATCAATCGTCTCGGAAAGCACTCAGAAAGGTTAAAACCTAAAGTAAAACCTGAAGGCTGATGGGTACGAGTCGATCCTCTGAGTTTCCCGGTGCTCTTTCGGCAAGCTAGACAGCCCTCATGGTTCACTCAAACTGCATGAAGGCTGAACGATTTAACTTTCACCTGCCAATGTATCCGAGTGAAGCCTGGAAGCTCTCAATGAGCTGAGCACACAAACAGGTTGAGAACATAGTAACCGGCCATGCTAGCCTGGAGACGGCGTGCGGTCACCAACCTCACCAACACGTGTCCAAAACAAAATACGAGGCCTGATTTCTTATTCATCGTTGAAAACAAAAAAGTGGGACTCGATATGCGAGCAGCCGAAACATTAAAAAGCAAATTGATCAGATAATTATGATACAAGAGAGCAGAGATCACGGTCAGGTTATGTGTGAATCACGCGGGCGAGTAGGTCAGAGAACATAAGCCAGAAGTACATTAGGGATCGAATGGAGTCTTTGGGGATGCTCCTAAACCGAAGTCTGGCAAAGAGGTCTTGGCATGCGTCTGTGTTGTGTCCGGAGCCGATGCGAGAGAACGACGTTCATCATCTGTATCGGAGTCACCAAAAGGGTTCTTAGGTTGGATGGCGTGGGCGGGATCCGTAGCGGTTGCACTGCGAATGTCGGCTGAATGATAACCAAGGGAATAGGACCTTAAACTGGCCAAGGTAGCCGAACCTGTCCTCGGGCCAGGTGAACGGACATCAGCAGATGGGCCCTCGAATTGTGAGGTTGGTTTTGGAGAACTAAGGGAAGATAGGAAGAAGACTAGTGTCAGCGGAAACGGAAAGCGGAAAAAGTTTGAGATTTCTTAAACCATAGTGTAGTTAACTCAGCTCAGACGGAGACATTGAGGATTTCTAGCAGTTCTGAGGTAGGAAGTTGTTCGAATGGTCCGGAAGCAAACTACTCGGGTAAGGCACTCCTTCTTGAGGAGACATCAGAGGGGGATATAAAAAAATATCTCCTCCATTAGGGGTTTCTTCATCTGCGGGGGAATGACCGATGACAACCATACACTACTCCTTTTGAAACGATAGAGTGGAAACTAAGTTATTTGCAAAATGCACTCATTTGTATACCAATCTGGTATTACGTTAAACCCGACGAAATTGGAGCTGAATGATGATGTACAACTGAACTTGCTAAAAAAGGGTGCCACACGTTTAAGTTGCTACGACGCTCCAAATATCGTGAGATATTTTCCTGAACGACACTACTCGTAATTTTTCAGCAGTTTTATGAATAATTTCTTCAAAAAACTCAGTTACACAGTAGATCGGTTGGGTGAAATTTCAGCTTAGCCCTCATAAGCTAGTGGATGAAGCTGTTGCCTTCAATGCGTAGCTCCATTCCCAATTCACCCACTTAACAGTCCACCTACAGTGCTTTATCCACGCACTAAGTTATCAGTTCCGGCCTCCAGTGCGCAGCTACCTAACCCACCTCCCCGAATCATCGGTGAACGAAACTGTGGCAGCTACAACCACTGTACGACGAACACGCGGTTAGTACAGCAGACAATGATGATGATGGATGAATAAAACAGAACAGTCAACATTACATCAATATTCCTCTAACGTTGATTGTGGTTATGTGCTGGCACTGTCCTGATTCACTGTTTGAACAAATCGGTCGACTGGCCCAATTGTCTGACTATATTTGTTAGATGGGTTGACCTTGGCCGGTCCAATAGGACACACTGAGTACGTGAGAGGTGACAGTCCAGCCAGAAATGCACCGATCAATCGGTGCATCATCATCATCATCGGTCAACTCATTTAATCGTGGGGCTCGACCCAGCTGAATGGTACTCGCTGGCACGGTAGGTGGACGAATTTCTCAGATGGAAGTGACGCTGTCTAACTGGCAACCAGTCACACTGCTGATCAGCCACAAATGGTTAGAGCTCTACCAGGTAAGCATTACCAATGATTCCCAATAAGGATGAAACAGCTGTGCAGCATAGATTGACATCATCTACAGGAGGAGACATCAATCGAAAATTCCCAATTCTCCTCCTCTCCAACGCTATTAGCAAGGATCCCAGGTCGGCCATCGAAACGGGGAATCCACATGGTTAACGTATACACCAGATGTTCTGTAAGCGTCGGCTCTTACTAATGGGGGTCACAGTTCACACGGTACTTACCCACATGGACCCGGTGTGGTGTCTCGTGAACGAATCGACTGTGAATCCTTACTACTGTTGTTTAGATGCAACACCGTCATTTGCATCGCGTTTGAACCCACACCTGACGGAGTCTGTGGTCGAGGAAGGCCGGCAGATAACCCAAATGGCGCATGAGCAAGTCGATTGGCCAACAGCTTGGTTAGTTGAGGTGAGCTAGACCTAGATGACTCATTATCAAACGGCTCGAGCGGTTCTTCGCCGAGGGCCGTTTGATCCGTATGTAGTGCGATTCGGAGTTGTTCTACAACTTGGCTTGATAGGAGAGATGAGCCAGTGGTCAGCACATCAGCCTCGGTTTCTGCCAGAAGTTTTCTGATAGGAAAAGGTTTGGGGAAAACAGACAACGGAGTAATGAAGCACATGTCTCCTGGTGTATCTTTTACGACGGAGATTGACCGTTTTAACAGCACCACACAAAATAAAATCAAACGATACGAAACAGCGGATTGAATTTATGTTGAGATGAGAACATCTGCATTTAGAACTTCAAAAAGTAACTAGAAACAGGTTGAGTACGGGAGTTCAACCGATAGGATGGAAACGACCTTATCTGAAGTTTTACAGCTAAAAATCATGACCCCCTCGGTTTCAGACAGCCCCGCTTAAACAGGTGATGTGCACAAGGAGGCCGTTTAGCTTTTCGCACGGCTAGCCAGGAGTTCTTGACAGCTTAAATGTAACCAACCGGTCGTCACAAATTCCTGCTCAAACAAGCGCCTCAACTCAAGGGCGTCACACTGCTTTCCACCGGAAAAAGACCCGATTGATTTCTTTATTCAGGAATCTATAAAATATAAAAATAACACCCTTTTGGTGCCTAGCTACCATGTCACCCGAAGCAAGCACGAGAGCTGGGATACTGTCAGGTTGCCCGAGCCTAGACAGGGGAAGTCGAGAGGCGGAAGTCGGATTCGAACAACGGACCTTCCGGTCAGTAAATCCGCGCTCCAACCACTGAGCCATCAATAAAATTAGTTTAACAGCTAAAAGTACGCCATTCCGTTGATGGTCTGACAAAAAATGGACTCAGTCTGAACACTCGTGCTGATGGTTTATGTAATTAAATTTTTTAAATGCTTTCTCTCAGAGGTCTTACTATCTTATAATCTTTGGTTATTTGACCGTGATTGTGATAAATCGTTCATCTGTCATACGCCTTCGATAACCAGCTGATATGCTATCCGAAGGAAACACGGGGACTGCCAGGTTGCCTCAGATTGCAATTACCGTAGGCTTTTTTGTCTCGATTCCGTTTTGTGACATGAGGGCTGGATGTATTCAGGCACACCATTCCAAGTTTGACAGAGAAAGTTACTATTTTAGGTATGAGGGCGAGATGGACCAAGTGGTTAGAGCGCGAATTTGCTGACCGGAAGGTCCGTGGTTCGAACCCTACCTCTGCTACTCGACTTCCCCTGTCTAGGCTTGGGCGACCTGGCAATATCCCAGCCCTCGTGTCTTCTTCGTGTGGCATGGCAGTCAGACACCGAAAGGGTGCTACAGCTGGACGATTTTAGGTATGTACATGTATCATTGTACTTCAAATCCCACCCTTATTGGATGAATATAATATTTTGACCACCACCTCATGGTTGGATCTCCTGATTTTTGTGTCACTCAACGTAAATCCCTAGATATTCAACCTATTTGATACTTATGCATGAGGAAACTTGACCAGTCCCAACGGCTGGTCGTGCCTCCTAGAGAGTCAAACAAAGGTTCGACTCTTAGACCAATGTTTTTAGTTACAGTATCTGTTAGGAACGCACTTCTAGCCCGAACGAAGGCATGTGATACATGTGTGCCAGCTGCACTTCTTCCTCAAATCGATACTTATGATGATTATTATTATTATTACTAGCAACTCAACTGTTACACCCTTTCAGGGCCTAGCTACTACACCATTCAGGGGGGAAGCATGAAGGTTGAAGTACCACAAGGCTGCCCAAGTCCAGACAGAACCAGTCGCGAGATGGGTTCGAACCATGGGCAACGAGGTTAGCAACCGCTGAGCGATCAAGGCCGCTCACTATTATTACCAGTGTCTGAGCTTCAGTAGATATCTTCGGAAATGAAATTTAATATGATGTGTATTGAGCTCCACACTGTTCGGTGGTTGGGATGAATATAATATTTTGACCACCACCTCATGGTTGGATCTCCTGATTTTTGTGTCACTCAACGTAGATCCCTAGATATTCAACCTATTTGATGCTTATGTATGAGGAAACTTGACCAGTCCCAACGGCTGGTCGTGCCTCCTAGAGAGTCAAACAAAGGTTCGACTCTTAGACCAATGTTTTTAGTTACAGTATCTGTTAGGAACGCACTTCTAGCCCGAACGAAGGCATGTCCTGATTGGTCGGAATACCAGCCAATCCGAGTCAAGCACCCTTGACTCGACGCTTCTCGCCCCCTCACGGACATTCTGGCACGACCTTGTGGAACACTCTGTGATTATGATAATTTTCCTTTGTCTCCGTAAGGGGCTGTGTAGAGCTACCGTGCCTTTTGATATACCATAGTGGGCGGAGCAGGAGGCCAAGGGACCGACTCAGAGTTGCACTACCGTTCAGCAAGACACAACAACTGGCGACGGGGATGGGATAGTGATCAGTCGGGTAGATGTGCTTGTTCACAAGATCCGAAAAAGGAATAGCCCAACCTACGTCCGTAGACACGTTAGTCAATGCGGTGTGAACTAGCACACTGGAAGCATTAGCACCTACTTGTTCTTCGGGGCACACTCTGGACAAGACTGTTCGTTCGAAGCGTAGTTTTCGAAGCACCTAAAAGAGTAAAAAGAGTGAATAGAAACGCAAATCGGTTGAAGGGGAGTAGGAACAAACAAAACAATGAGATAGCGCGGCCTGACAAGAAATATTCGCCCGAGTTAGCAACTTCTTTTCCAGACTGTCGCATTGTAGCGTGTTCCGTTCTACAAACAGAGAAACTCGTCACTATCAGTATCGGACAACGCTTCTCTTTTCCAAACCGAATGAGAGAATAAGAAAACGAGAACCATCGAGCTAAGTGTCTCATTTATTAGTTTGAGTTGGAGCGCGAATGAGTGAAACCAGATGTTCCAGATAGCCTTACATGCCATCCAGGGAAAGCGCTGTCTTTCGTTAAGAGGAATGCTGGTAACCCAGACCAGTAGTCAGAGCCTGATTCCTCGAAGAAACACATTTTAATAGCTTTCAACAAAACACCGCCAATGAGCTCAAGTCATCTACAGGGCCACTTTAGACCTACCAACGCTGGTAAGAAGTACACTACTGAGTGATGCAGAACCAGTTGGTATTCGTCGTATCCTGGACCAGAGATTTGCGTTCCCAAGTGTTGTATATAAACATGGAACTCCGGTGTCAACACGAAATGGTAGCAACGATGACGAGACTTACATCTTGTGATAGGAATGGTCACAGAGGAAATGAACAGACGGTGGTTCAAGGCTTTGGTGGCACAGGACGCATTTTTGCTGTTGGAAGATTTTCACCCTGAAAATGGAAGATGCAGCAAATATCGGAAATACTACATTAAGGAATCGAGGGCCTGTACGAAAAAAAAGAACTCCGGAAAACACAGAATGAGTAGGAAACGTTTGCTATTAACAATTTCTTCCACTTACCTCAGAACTAGCTTCACAGATATTGAGATTGAAAGCACGTAACTGTTAGTTCATGAGTTTTGTGTCCTGTTGGGTCACGTCAATCACCGAATGTCTTTGTATATTCTTCAATCCTATTCATCTTTGGTTTGACGAAGCAAAAGAGCCTGCTATGTTCAGTTTTACATTAGGGCATACCATAAGCACGGTCCAGTTGTCACAAAATTCCAGCGCATGGGACTAACACGGCAAACTCGAACAGAGATTATTCCGGGTCGTTCTGACCTAGTGACTCATTCGCACAATAACTTCGATTCCATGTCCGTCTTCTGTGAATCTAGTACTGTGAAGTCTATTCAGAGATATATCCTTATATGAATGAAGAGTTTCCTACAGTGCGTTCCTACCAAATGCCATTTTGGGACTGAGCCCCGCATCGGAACAGACAACTGAGCAAAAACAACCTGAGCACGTGGTGGATGCCTACGAGGGGAATGTGTTGGTGCCTTAATTCTCCAAAGTGACCAATATCGCATCACAATCTCACTCTTCAAATGGCCATCTAGAAGTGACAACAACGTGAAGGTTTGTGATGTGTGTCACCTAGCAACAGCCTGGTTCTGCTGAGCTATACCTATCTAGCGCGGACTCACTGGGAGCTTCGCTCGAAACTCAGCTGCGCAGTTGATAAAAACACATGTTCTTAAAGAAAAGCAAGATGCATTGGTCAAGGGCAAACCACTGTAAATACCGAACATCACGTCGATCGAGCAGATGTATCGTGAGTGAGCTACGGACCAAAT